CTCCTCCAGTGCTCAGCACCAACCAGAAAGGAGCCTGATAACCTGGAAGCCGGAAAAAAAAAAAACAAAAAAAAACAAGTAAGTTTCCATCTGCCACCTGCCCAGAACTGGGCTGAGATCCCGCTCTTGACCTCCCTCCCGAGCCTCGGGGCTCACTGTAGGTGACACTGAAGCCAAAGCCGCCCTCATCTTTCACTATGTGACACAGTCGGGGCCGGACCCCTGGGCCGAGAGTAGGAGACAGGTGGGCACTGTTCCCCTGCCGATCTTGAACCATGTCATACACGTGCTGCGCCAAAACTGTCAGCAACACCCGCGGACCGCTGGCCCGGATACGGCGCACCACCTAAAGAGAGGGCATGCAGGGGGAGGTTGGGAGCGGCCCTTCTTGCCAGCGCCCCCTCCCTGGAGTGAGCTGTCTGCAGCCAAATGCTCTACCCCTGAGCTATACCCCCTGGAACCAACTCTCCGGATCATCCCAACCTGGGCAGCCCTAAATCCTGGAAGGTAGGGGAGGTTGAGGCTTAGGGACTGCCCCCATCTATCCAGGGAAGTGACTTTCTCTCTCCTTGAGGTGCTAAGGGATGTTCTACGCCACAGAGAAGCCCCAGCCCAACCTCACCACAGCATAGTCTTCACATTCTACAACGTGGTCGTTCACCCCTAGGATCCGGTCCCCTTCCCGAAGACCCTGGCGCTGGGCAGAGGTGCCTGGCTCCACCCTGCACACCACAGGCACAGCCTTGCCCAGATCCTGTCTCAGGTGGAAGCCAAAACTCCTGCCCTCCTCTTTGCTCAGCAGACAGAAGCGAGGCCGCTCCAGGCTCCAGAGATCTGGAAGGGGATGTGGGCAACAGAAAAGGGGGAGGAAGAGGGGGCCTAAATACAAGTCGCCTTGTGCCTGGCAGACGATACCCTTGTGATAGGGCACTGGGCAGGCTCCTACCCAGTTAAGTATCGGGCAGTGGGGCCAAATACCCAAATGTGGGAAGAGTGGCTTGGACAAAAGAAAACACCCAAACCCCTCCTACCTCCACACAGTTACTCCCCACCAGGCTGCTATCAGAGGGAGGCCGAGTGGAGTGGTTACCAAGGAGACGGGAGGCCGGAGAGGAGCTGTGGTATCTCTGGGGAAAGGGAATGGTTGCCCAGGGCGAGGGGGTTACCGGAGGGGTCAAGGTCTTCAGCCAGAGAGAGGACAGGATTATCAATGCCCTGCTTTGGGTTAAACTCAAACTTCCTGCAAGGAGGCAAGGGACACAGGTAGGAGCAAGCTGACATCGGGACTCTGGTCCCGGTCTCTACTTGTGCGAATGAAGGCCTTCCCCACCTTGGATCTCCTCTGCCCCTTGCCCCAATCCTTCCCAGCATGGCACTTACAGAGTTAACGAGGCTGTGTCCTGAAGATCTGCTGGGCAAAGAAGGGATGAGGAGAGGAGGGGCGCATTCCCTCCCCACCCCACTCCTCTTCCACAGTCATTAACTGAAAGGACTTGGGCGAACCCCCAAATTTAGAACTTGCCCCCTCCATTCTGCTCCAGAAAGACCTTCCCTTCTTCTCTCTTCCCTTTGCCTCCCAGTCCACAGAAATCTGAGCATATCAGGACGGGGCGTGGACCAGGAAGACAGACCTATCCACTCACCTCTTCTCTTCTAACTCGCCATCTATTTGCCTCCGGGCACCAAGCCCCAACATCAAGTACACCCTGGTCCCAAAGCCTTGGCCTCCCAATCTGCCCTCTCAACTGCCCTCTCAAGTCCCCAGCAGAGGATTTCTCCCAGTCTCCTACCTGCAGCTGCTTCCATAGTTGGATCAGTGACCCAGTGCTCAGGGTAGGGACAAGGTCCATGAAAAACAGCTGACCCTCCCACCTAACCTGCCACGTCCCGCCTCCTTAAAGACACTGCCTTAGGAGCAGTGAGGTAATGGTTAACGGGAGGAGTCTTATCCCCCAGGGAGAAGTATGTGTGTTCCTCCTGCCCCCATTCCTGGGCCCCAACTTTCTCTGGAGACTGCTGCGGGCCCAGCTTCTGCTCCGGGCAGACAAAGGTAGGTTGCTTGTCATGATAATGCCAAGCCTGGGATAGGTATGTTTGAAAAGGTGATAGAAGTCCTATAGCCCCGCATGACCTCCTCCCACCCCAGTATCTTGTTCCAAGACCACCCCCAGCCCTCGCTGCCTCTGAACCTAGCGTCCAAGAACCACCTGCAACAGAAAGTGGTCCGAAAACAGCGCCCCTTCTTGAAAGCATCAGGCAAGAAGGAGGCCATAGTAGGTAGAAGACACAGCTTTTTAATAGAAGCAGGGCAGTGCACAGGCCCCTCGGAGCCACTGAGCATAAGTACATTGTGAGAAAGGGGGCGTGAAGGTGAGGAGAAGGCACCAACAAGAGAGGGAAGCGGCTCCGGGCATCCTCCGTGTCCTCTGATGAGCAGAAAGGCAGAAGGTGGAGGCCCTCCAACGCATCTGATGGCAACACCGCTGGGGAGGCGGGCAGGAGAAGTGCGCCCCCTGGTGGCACACTCGGAAGCTCCTCGAGAGGATGGAGGTAAGGTTGGTGGTGCCACAGGGCGACTGGCTGCCAAGATGCCACATGAAGAGTCTTTCTCAGCCCTAGCTGAATGGAAGGAGGCACGTTCCATGACCCTGGCAATTCCAGACTTGGGGGAGCAATGGTTGGACATGCCCCGGGAGAGCAACTGGCACAGTTGTGCCCTATCCTTTACCTCCAGCCCCACAGGGATCTTTCTGGAAGTAGTAGTGCAAACCAGGAGGCCACAGAGGGAAGGGTCTTGGGCCCAGGGGTCACATAGCTCGGTGACTGCCGCCACTGCTTCAGCTTCCAGGGCCTCCCAGCTGCTCCAGGAGGGCCCTGACCTCACCCTCCACTCGCAGCAGCTGGGCCTTACGCCAGGGGTTAAGGGTGTCCCCTCGGCTGTCTTCCAGATCTCGAAGCAGCAGCTCAAGGTGGCGCCGGACACGACTGCGATCCCAGCTGTTGAGGTTCCGCTGGACTTCACTAAGGATCACCGACCAGTACTCAGACACTGCTGTCCCCTCTGTCAGCGATACCACGACCCGGGCACCACCTTTAGCAGTGCTCCCCACATCCCGCAGGGCCTGGCGGCCCTCTGAGCTCAGCTCATTGAAGTAGAGACTAGAAGGAGAGAAAATAGAAGATGCCATTCAGCGGGGCTCTGAGAAGGAGGGCAGGGGGTGGACGGGACAGAGCCTGGGGGGTCCTCACGACTCCTCCCCTGGCTGTGGAATGTGATGGGGCGTGTGAGATGAGCCAGAGATGAAGGGGGGTGGCCAACAGGAGTTGGAGATGACATCTAAACTCAGCAGGACCCGGGACAGTAGGGATGGAGCCACTAGGACTCGAAGAGAAATGGTAGTAGGGAATCGGGGCGGGGTAAGGCATGGGTCGGTTCCGAAGCGGGTCCGTGAGGACCAGTGAGAAGGCAGGGGTAGAGGGTAGGCCCTAGGGCAGGAAGAATGCAGTGGAGACAGGAGGGAGACTGAAGGGCTGGGGTGGGGGGATGGCACCGAGGACAAGACTCACTGCAGCAGCTCCAGGGAGGGGTGGTCCTGGGCAGCTTGGGCCAGGGTCAGGGCCGCTGTGTCACCAGCACCATTGTAGGCCACGTTCAGCTCCTGCAGCTGTTGATTACGGTCCAGCTGGGTGGCCAGCAGCTCCAGGCCCTCGTCCCCAAGGCCCGTATGCAGCAGGGACAGGTGTGTCAGGGAGGTGTTTCC